ATATATATATATATATATATAGTATACAAACAAAAAAAATCTTTTTAAAGAGTATAAAGTGTTTCCTTCTGATATTAGTTGAATATGTTTAAGAAATTAATTCTTCTGTGATCAGAGCTTTATCTGATATATACTCTCTGGAAAAATTAGTGTAATATGATATGTAGTGTTTAAACACTTTTTTACACACACGTAACTAAATCATTCTATGACAAAAGTTTGTTTGTGTTTGTCTGTTTATTCTAGCGAACCGCTAGACGAATTATTATCAAACCTGACATGTATCCTCAGGGCAACCAGGAGACTGAAATATGGGGGTAAGAGTTCGGATCTGATCCCCATATGTCATCCAGGGGGCCGTATGTCTTCTTCGTGTGTTGTGTGTGCTTATGATTGACAACTCGCTGGACCGATTATCACCAATCTTGGCACGTACCTTTAGGACCTCACAGAGAGTGTAATACTTCACTGCCGTTTCGTTGTTAAACAATTTGGGGAAAAAGTGTGAGTTACTTAAATATAAAAATAAAACAGAGGGTATAAGCTCAATAAATAGTGTTCCATGACACAAATTACACACCTTCATGGATGTGGTAGAGGAGCAATGCTATAGTTGATATTACGATGGAAGTTATCTACTAAAACCTCAACAGGACCCTTATGATGAGCGAGGTTATCATACTTTATTGTCATAGTACCGCAGCATACCTTTCAGGACCTTGTAACTGCCCTGTATAATAGTAATAACTTATTATTCTTGTTTTCCCAGTTTATCCTTAGTTCGGTTGGGTCTGGCTTTCTTGTACACATGATGTGATCGAAAGGGCAAAATTTCAAGCCCTTATATGTTGCTGAATAGAAATGACCCTTTACGTTTTCGGCAAGTTATAAAGGTGACAGTTAATCCCACTATTACGATAAGAGTATATGTGTAGGCGGAGGTTGCTGATGACTTGTTGCCTTCTTTCTGGTCAGTATGTGTAAATTAGTGATGTTTCTACCTGAAACTTGGGTTCTCTGGTGTGATGGTTTAGTCCATGCATCGCATAGGATGACGTTCATATTGAAAAAACACTACATATTATACTTATTTGTATTATGTTTTTATCTTATTTTTTTTTTTTTTTGCAGAGTGTATTTTTCATTTCCCTCCTGCTGTCAACTGCATTGGTGAACGCTGAAAGCCAACATGTTCCAAAAACGGAAAATGATCTGAAGACGTCGGCTACTGTTTATGGAGGTTATGGTCTAGGAGGTCTAGGTGGAGGCTTTATCGGTGGAGGAGGTTTAGGAGGTCTAGGTGGAGGTTTTATCGGGGGAGGTGGTTTAGGAGGTCTAGGTGGAGGCTTTATCGGTGGAAGTGGTCTCGGTTTTGGAGGAGGAGGATTAGCTATTCAGGTATACCATTGTATTTTATTCGTGGAATCCAAAATTCTAAATTGTAGTTTATTTCTTAGAAATTATTGTTAAAATGAATTATTGTTTAAAGAATATTAATCAAAACTCTTTTTTTAATTTGGGAAATAAATTCGTAGGCTGTTCCTGTGGCTGTTGGAGGTTTGGGAGGAGGTTTTGGCGGTGGTTTTGGAGGAGGTGCAGGAGGAGGTTTTGGAGGAGGCGGAGGGGGAGGTTTTGGAGGTGGTTTCGGAGGAGGACTAGGAGGTGGTTTTGGCGGAGGTGCTGGAGGTGGTTTTGGCGGAGGTGCTGGAGGTGGTTTTGGAGGTGGTTATGGAGGAGGATCCGGAATTCTTGCTGTGCCGCTAAGTCTACGAATATATGGAGGTGGTAGCAGAATATGGTGGGACTAGTGTAAGGGAAACAAATTGCAACCAACTGTTAATTTTCCAAATATTTTTATTTAGGCTCAGTTAAATTATTTAATTTATTAGATATAACATACATTATTCCTATTACAGAAAAACTTTCTATATTTTATGTTTTATTTTTGAATGTTTTGTTTACTTTATTTTTGTAAAAGTTAAAAATTTACTTTGATCGTAGGTAGAAAGTAAACTTACGTTGTATTATCTCATGGCAAAGGTATATGTGTTTTTCCTCTAGTATATTAATTATTTTTCAATATTTTCTCTTTCTTATCAGGAGAAGGTGTTTGAATCCAGACAAATATACGTTCAACCTTTGGTTAAGCTGCCTTTTCGTCATCTAATGAAATTTTAACTGGACATATCGCTTCTTAAGGTATAAATTTGGGACCTCCTGCTTCGATCCAGTGAAAATATTCATAAAGTTTAGGTTTCCTTCAAGCCATTTTAACGTTAGAAATATTGAGGATTTGATACGAAATAAAGCTTTGCAATCAAACAATGTCTGAGTCTGTACTTTTTTCCGGAAAAAAATTATTTAAAAATCAGAGCTCCTTGTTTGTAATTAAGCACAAAGCTACACAATGGACTCTCTATCCTCTGCCCACCACTGGTATCGAAACCCGGTTTCTAGCGTTGTAAGTCTGCAGGAATATCATTGTGCCACTGGGGGGCTCAGAGAGCCTCTCGTAGAATACAAGCAAATATTTTCACAGTATTTAAAGTTACTAAATTAAAGTATTTTAAGAACACTGTATATATACATGTATAATATTTTACTTGCTAAAATAAATAGACTTGTTGTACATTATGGAACCAACAGTTCTAAAGAAATTTCGATTTAGTCTCCGAGTTAAAACTCATACGTGTCGTTATTTGTGGTTTGAAGTTGTTTTTTTTATCTGCGGAAAGACGACTATTACAAGTATTTCTATCTGTTTGATGCTATTAGAAAGTAAAAACGTAATGAAAAAAAAGTCACCGTTATGTAAATATAGGCTACACAAGTGTACGTAAATGTAAACGAAAAACACAAGATAAAATAACGTAGAGCTAATTTAATAATTCTGTCTCACCTACTGATTCAAATTTCACAAAATATTTACTAGAACTGAAATTTCTAAAATATTCTTATATCAGTAGTCTGGACATTTTATCTATTACCCAAGCGTAAAATGAATGAAAGTTCAACATCTGATACTGATATACATGGAACGAAAACAAGGAAAACTATATTTAAATTATTTTTAAAACAGAGAGCGTAACCGTTTTTTAATAGAATTTTAAAAGGAAAAGTAAACTTTATTCTGAGATGACCATATAAAAGATACAAAAGAGACCCGACGTCAGAAACCAGGCAGATCTTCAGAAACACATATCAAAATCCACAGTCACAATAAACATCTCACAATAAAAACGATTAATTACGTGTGTTCTGTGTTAGCATCAATTATCCAGAGTTGACTGGATCGACTTTGGTATAAGGGAATAAAAAAACCTGGAATAGGGCATATGTCCACTTTAATACAGACTTTTGGCTTTCAATTTAAAGACACAAGTACTTAATCATTTAAATGAGTCAGTTATTACCTTCCACAAAGTAGGATATAATATTAGTATCTGATGAGGTAATTATGTATTTAATAACAAAAGAAAGAAAGTTTGTTTCTAATTAAGCACAAAGCTACACAATGGGCTATCTGTGCTCTGCCCACCACGGCAATTGATCAATTGTAGTACATGATTTAGAATAGAGCGATAAGACTTTGGTACAGCACAAGCAGATGACGTTCTTCAGTTCTATTTCATGGTGCAACTTTTAGTGTATTATTGCCTTTTATAGTTCTGGTTATTATGGGTTTAATGTAGCTGGTGAAACTGAAAATCTGACAAAGATTACTACAGCTACTTCAAAGTTTCGTATAGAAGGATAGTAGTACCCGCAAAAGAACGATGATGGCTTGTCCTCATCAGCATGTATCTTGTTCAGTAAACATAATGGTTGTGGTTTTGAAAGGGTCGATGACCATTCTCGTGTCATTGAATTATTTACCCAACATGCTAACGGATGGTTGTATCTTACTTTCGGTTGAAAAATGTTGGCAGCAAAAGCTAGAGCTTAGCATCTGGTTGGACTGTGAAGACGAGTTAGATTCATGGTGTATATGTTGAAGGTGACTGGTGATGCATTTTATGATAGTTAGTGCAGCTAAAACACATTTGACACATGTTATACTAATGCCAATTTCGAGCATTTTGTCAGCAAGAATAGGCCTCTGGACTCTATTACTGGCATCTTTCAGATCTAAAACTATTGCCAAGGTGTTCTGAATAGCGTCCAAGCCTTCTCATGTATAAGCTGAAAATTCAGAAACGTTGATTCGGGTTTCTCTTCCACTGTGATAACCATCTAATGATGATGGTAGTAGGGATTTAATCTGATAGGCAAGGCTTCTAGCTACAGCTTTCTCTGGGATCTTGATAATTGTATTTTGTTGGACATTGCTTCCATGGCCTTTAAGGTGGCCTCTCTATTTCTTTTCCCACGATTGATACCATAATTTCCAATGCCGTGGATTAGTAACTAATGATAAAGGTAATTGGTGAAAGATAAATGTTAAAATAACATATGACAGTTTTGGTTATTTCTCTTGGTTTTTTGGGTAAAAGAGCAAACATAGTACTAACTAGATATTTTATCACAGAAAACTTCAAAATTTTAAATCCCGAACTGTTTATAATACCGTTTTACAGACGCCAGGCGTACCAGGAAAATAAAAGTTAGTTAGAACAAGGGAAAATTCCTTAATATAAATTGAAAAAGAAAATTGAACAAATTTAAGAAATAAGTTACAGAAGAAATGCTTTCAGTACAATATTACAAACGAAAACTATGGAACTTTTAGGGTTAACAGATATGTTAAATTTAGAAGATAGATACAAAATATCCAAACTACGGTAAAGTTATATGAATTTTAAGTCTTTATAATGAAGGTTATTAACTTACCAGATTTTATTATTAACTGAGGCATGTACTTCAAGATATTTGAAGATATCCCATACTAGTTGATAAAATAATGGACTGGTAGTGTTTCTCCATTTTCCGCCATGAAGAGACATTTTTTTCCCTAAGTGATAACATCTCACGATGTAAGTATAGAATATTCAGGAGTTCAATGATAGGCAAATGAAACTCACAAACAACATTCTGTCAAACGAAAATTAAGCAACTTTTGCAATTAGTTTTGAGAGTGGATGAGAGAAAAGATAGTCTGAAAAAGTTTAATATGATTCTCAAGTTTCATCCCATACAGAGGTAGCTTCATAATGTAATATACTACGGAGTTCTATCTCGGAGCTGGATAAATTAAAGTGTTCGTTGTGCAAGAAATAAATTGTAGTAGAATACTGAGTATTTTTAGCTATAGTGATAATACAACTCTGACTGTTTGGCTTGTTGATGAAAGAAAGTAAAGTAGCTTAAGTTCAGAACGAATTCTGTCAAACGAAGAGTACTTTCAGCAGATCAGCCTCGACTATTTTTAAAAACGTAGTGGGTACATTAGAACATCGATTACGACATATTCTACTTCAGTTATTGATGTTGAAGATCCACCCCAGTCTCAGTTTTTCGATGAAAAGAGAAACCTCTGAGCTGCTGAAAACAACCAACAGAAACAACAGGTCCAGAAGCATATTCCTTATTCAACTATTTCAAATTTCCTTGTTGTAAACAATTTCTCTGACGAAAAACGAGAAGCCCACAAACTAATAAAATGCAAAAACTGAAGTAGAATTAGGACTTGTCAAGTCTTCCAAACTCAATCTTATGAAGAACAAAACTCGGTTAATAATCTAATCTTATGAAATAACCTCCATTCTAAAGTCATTATTAACTTTATCCTATACTGGCTATATTGTACTGAAACTTCTGTTATTTGAGAATTTAACTATATTCTCTCACTTTTATCATTAATCACTATTCCATAAAATTTAAATTATGTCTTCAGTCATGATAAATGGAAAGGTAGAGATTTATTAAATTGCACATACATATAAACAAACCACATAGAATGGAAACATTACAGGTAGTTAAAATCGCTGAATTTTTAGAATAGTTTAACAAAAAAAAAATGACTCGAGCAATGATTTTAGATGTTGTTAGATAATTTCATCAAGTGTTTTATACAGTAGGATAAAATTAAAAGTAACTCTGTCACAGGAATCTTATTGGATATGATATATAGTAACAAGTTTGAGGTACTTTAATATTTTCTGACGAAATTTAGGCAAAAATATGTCTTTGCGATTATATAAATGAATCTGAGCTAAATTGTTTCAGTTGAAGTTAAGCATCCTGCGCATGTTTTATTTGTCACTATAGCACGAAAACTTAATGAACTAGACAGTAAGAAGACTTTATCATCCGAATATTATTTGGCATATGTACAAATAGGTTCCAAGAAGAACGCGAATACAAATGTGAAATGAGGCAAAGAGTGAGTTTGCTATTCAATACTAACAAATAAAAATTGTAATTGAATTTGGTTTTTGCAAAATATGTGGTAATCCTGATGTTAATAGCATAAATACGTAAAATCCAACAACAAAAAAGAATGCCAAGTAAACTGACAATAATCATTAAGTTTTTCAAGAGACTACACCAACTGAGGTGTGGAGAGAGTGGTTTAACAAACTGGTTAGGTACTGAA